AAAGATATCAAAAAGCCTGTGAGGTGAGACTCAGCCACTCACTCTTACTCTCTAAATCAGCCCTCCACTGACCTAGTTCCTGGATACACAGGGAGATGAAAACACCGAACAGTAGTGAATTTGGTAAAGAACCCCTTTGAGGTTTTTAGAGACAAAACAACGCTACCTTTCTCTCACCCTTATGTTCATCTCTTCTTGCTCCTCTCTGGATTTGAACGTTTCTGCAGCCTGGTGAGTCTTAAAACTTTGTACCTTTCCTCGGTGTCCTCACACATGGCTTTCGAAACAAGCCCGTGGCTCCATATTACTGAGCAAGTGAGTAGACACGACACAGGGCAATCTAGCCTGGAGGGACAGAGGAGTCAAGAAACCTTATGCCTCACACCTGGGCACGTCCGAAGACAACAGGCAACGGCCGAAGCTTCATCACCCCACTTCCCTGAACCTAGAAGCAAGGCTCATGGTCCCCCAGAGGTGGGCTCTGCCGGTGCTCCGGCGCCCTCTAGCGACCATCCACTGTAATCTAGCCCCGCTTGGTCTAGGCACCCCTGAGGGCTTGCTGAAGAAAAGCCCCTGTTAGCCAGCTTCTGCTCCTCCTTTCCTTCAAGGATCAATACTTTGAGCCACAAAGGGCTAGATCTTTGAAAAAGGAAGGTTTTTAATCTATACACTTTAAGCCATAGAAGGTTTCCAAGGTCCAGTTGAAATGCTGTATTCCCCCTGATACTTCCAAGGGAAAAAAAAAAAAAAAAAAAGGAATAATGAAGTAGATGTATTCTATTCTGAACCAGATACATGAGAGCAACATTTGAGAACATTTGTTCATTTTAAATAGACCTTTAATTTAAAGCACAGTTAAGATTTGCCCCAATGGATTCCTAGAGCCATGAACACTTAGAACATCATCTCTTTGTTTACTTTATTGACTCTGTGTGAGACTTTTAAAATAGAAGTCTGAGGCTGTGCACGCGCAGTTCCTCACTGTGCGTGCACACTAACGGAGACGCCTGCAGACCGTGACTTTGTACAAGTGTAATCACGTCTGCTCAGTAAATATTACAGTGTCTCCAAGAGAAATGTAATAAATTCCCAAAGCCTGCTTCTCCAAACACCACAGTGGAGGTGGGAGTTCCCCCATCGTCTCCAACTCATCATCCTCTTCACAGAGATCATCAGGGTACATGGCACCAATCTCTGGCGCCACCACAGTCATGGCCTGCAGGGAACTTGGAATCCCTTTCTGAGAGGAGTAATCAAGAAAGTAGTTGAATGGGTCTCCTGGTCTTGAACAAGTCAGTTCCCTGAGTTTTTGTTGTTGTTTCCCATCTGTCCAATTAAACAATCAGATAGTTTTCCCCAAGCTCACCCAATTTGGGGAGTTCATACATCCATGGTGCTAAGCTGTTCTTTGCAGTTTAGACTCAAATCCACTCAAATCTTAAGTGGGCTCTGCCATCCCTGGGCCCAGTAAAATCACACAACTGGGAAAAGGCATACTGTCACCTACTGTCTCTTTCTTTTTAAGATCCCACCTCAAAGCTTTCAAAATGTACTGACCTAGCAGCCAGTAGTTCTTTTTTTGGGGGGGAGGGGGAGGCTTTCAAAGAACTCAGTAGACAGATAAAGGAGTTGTTGGAATTCACCAACTCAGGGAAATATATTATTTGATATATTATCTATAAACTGTGTTTTATGCTGTTTTATGTTAATCCAAAGAACAAACAGAAACCCCATAGAAATGTGATTGCTAGTCTAGAAAAGGTTGAGAGCCCATGTCAGCACTACCATGTTTGGTCTTGAACTTAACACCCACCTCTATATACCCAATCCCGAAATGGATTTGAAATAGATTAGTTTCATGACATGCCTCCTTCAACAACAACAACAAAGGGATAGGATTCTTAAATCCTTAAAAGGAATAAAAAAAAAAAACAGACTAATCCTGACCATCTGTGTTTGATCTGGAGAGAAACAACTCTTACTGAACGCTGGGAGGTCAGCCTTAATGCACCAGAGGATAGTCCTAAACTGGGTGGCATTTTATTTTGAATGCATTTAGAAATTTCTGCCTTGCTATTTCATAACTCCAGTGTCTCACTACCGTTGCCAAGGAAATGTGACTTGGGTTACTGCCATGGATCCAAAGGGGTTTGTTTGTTTTGTTTTAAAAATATTAACATGACAGAAATGGAAAGATCAAATAAGGGGGATGAATTTACTCCCCCATTCTCCTTCAAGATCCATGAAATACAAATCTCCTCACATTTTTATTTAAAAAAAAAATGCAAGGAATCACCACATTTTTCCCAACTAGAAAATTCACATGCCATCAGCCAGGTGGGTATCCTGGGAATGTACTGCTCAGCCTCTATTCTGGATGCAAAGCATCCCAAAAATGTGTGAATAAAGGTGGTCCTAGCCTTCCAGGCACCAAGGGGAGTCATGGAGCAGAGCTTATGAACACACTCAGCTGAATCCCAAAAGATGGATTCTGATAGAGATGTGAAGAAAGATCTCAACATCAACCCACTTTCCTTTTGTGATTATTCAATTACAGTCAGGTAAGCTGAAGGCTTTTCACTCATAAAAATGAACTCAATCAATGAGATTTTTGAAATCTCTATCACACACACACACACACACACACACACACACACACACACACTGGGAACAGATACCATTTTTGCTTCCATTAACTACAATGGTACTTTTCATCAAAACACCACACACAGATGAAGAAATTCTTTGCAACAAGAAACCTTTTAATCCTGACACTGTAAAAGCAGTGTCCCCTTAAGACAGAGCTAATAATTTAAACAAGATGTCACATGGCCACACCTGAAACAAACAGGAAATTACTTCCTTTTTGGTTTTGCTTGTTTGTTTGTTTACAATTAAGAAGGAACTCACAAACATTCAGAAGTTCTAGTAAAGTTGCTATTTCAGGAGCTAAGAAGTGATCTGTGCCCAAGACTGTAAGAGAATTAAAAGAATAAACATCAGGCTGACTGCTTAGGAAAGGCGATGGGAGTTCTTACATGGGACCCTGGGAGTGGAGTGTTGGTTTCATCATAAGCAGCTTTGGTCATACAGCTATTGGCAAGTGTCCAGGCTTCAGCTTCCATTCCCACTATGGACCCACAGATCATTTTATATAATGCTCAGGGGGAATCGCCTACTTCTAACGTGGTTTGAATTTGAACCTCTGAAACTGTCAGTCTTTCCATCAAAAGAAACTGTGAAAATGTTGGCCTAACACACAGGTGTCCCAAGCTCATCCCTATTTTCATCTATCTGTTTGTAAGGAGCTTTGACCAACTCAGCTCAGAGCCCTGATCTGCTAGATGGCCTTTGCCAGCCCCTCTGTCATACCAGGCAGGAAAATCAGATGAGTTTGACCCAGGGGCGGTTCAGGGAGGGGAATGAAAACATCAGAAGTTATCTAATTACGGGGACACCCCGCACCCCAAGTTCTGTCTTAGCTACTGCTAAGTTAATATGGTCTTCCTAAACTTGAAAGACATCAGATAAAGTTGTCTCTGCCTCTGGCTTTTAGGCAACTGTGGCTAAGAAGTTTAACCTGCTACTGTGAAGTATAAAGCAATGCCATAGATGTAAAAACACCAACCTTGTAAAGAAAGTTTGAGGGGTGGGGCTTAAATTGCTTTGATATAAAGCAAAAACCACAAAGGCCCTTAAGAATAGAGACTATGAAGGAACAAGCAGAGGTTAAGAGTAGGGAGGGCTCTGTTTGGAGCTAGGGCAGTTTTGGGGGTTTTGTTTAAAGAAAGACTGGGTTCAGTGTCAGTTTCAGAACTCTTAAGTAGAGGCTAGAGAGATGGCTCACCAGTTGAGAACACTTAAGAAGCCTGTTAACAGCTCAAAATGCTGTTCAGGAAACAGAAAAACAAGTGAGCCAAGAGAAGCCAAAGCAGTGATTGGAAAAATCCCTGCAAAGCAGCAATAAGATGAAGCACTTGGTCTGATTTGCAGAGTTTCACAGATAAGAAAGGATCGACTGCTGAAGCATTTCAGTTCCAGAGGCAAGGACATTCTAGGAACTGGTGGGTCCACAGCATGGGGGAGGGGCGGGGGGCTAGAGGGAGGTGGGTACCTCTTATAAACTTTCCCAGGGCTCTGCCCTGTCTTGCATTCCATGCCCACTCTACCTCTGCTCTGCTCTTATTTCCTGCCAATAGGATCTGGAGGGCAGAATGAGACTCAGAGCCTTGAAGCCCAGTTACAGTAAGAGGAAGAAGGAGTTCATATTCCTAAGAGTATTCCTTGGATTCTACCCACTCCTACCCATTGCTGTTCAGCTCAACTCGATGTGGACCACTTTCTGACTCCCTTGGATTCATGTCTAGCATTCCTTAGTCGTCTGTGACACCTCTGGTCAGACACTTCTGGTTCATCTTTACCACCTTGCTATTCTATTTAACTAAAAGAAGAAAACAGAGAGACTGAGCCAAATAAAGACACCGGCAAGCCCTAGAGTCATGGACTGGACACAGTTAAATATTCTTAGGACCTCTTGGTAAAGAATGCACAGAAGCTGACTCCAAACAGCAGGAGGTCAAGCCATTGGCTAATACTACTGATGCCCCACACCTTTCACGCTGTCGGATGGGACGCAGCAACTCCAGCCCGGACTCTGGTCCCATCCCCCTTCCCATTTCTAAAACACTAATAATCCTCCCCCAAGCCGGCAGGACTTCCACAGCCAGACCTCACCTTGCTCCTGCCCAGGGAGGCTGCCCCCATTCCACCCGGGCAAGCGGAGTTATGTGAGAAAGCAGGTATATAGGCTGAAAGTTATTATTTATTAATTTTTAATTTTTGCCTTTAAGGACTGCTGCTCCTGCCGCTGTTCAGAACAACAGCAGTGACAAACAAGCCAGGCTGGGCGAACACCCAGAGCTTCTCAAAAGTTGGTCTGGCTACGCAGCAGCCTTGACGAGTTTGCAAGAACACAGGGCTCAGAGTTGGCATCTACTCACCTGGGTGTGCCAGCCTTGGAGACTAGAAAGAGAATTCAGCCCGGGACAGGTCTGTCCCGCCCCCAGGATGCAAAATCCGCCTTTGGAGTGGAGGTCCTGGGTGGTGTAGTTGTTAAGAGGTCTTAGGTGGGTCGGGCTTCCCTCCCACCTCTTTGGTCCTCTGGGGCCAGTTTAGCAACAGCCGAGGAGGATAAAGATGCTGGGAGGGGAGTTTGGTCGCTCTGGAAACCACGACTCCATTCTTGGGGGTGGGGGCTGGGGGAGAGGGTGAACAGCGTGCAAGGAGCTGCTGGGCTCGGGAACTCTCAGAGTAGAGAGGAAGGAACTGGGGAAGGAGGGAGGGAGCAGCGGAGTGAGGAAGGAAGGAAAGGAGGAAGGGAGGGAGGGAGGGGTGAGAGCCGGGAGATGGCAGCTTCTCACTGAGATTTCCACCTTCTGACGAAACCCTGGCGCCCAGCAGCCCGGCAAGATACTAGTTCCTAAACCTCCTCTCGAGCGCCCCCTGGGGGGTTCCGGGGACTCAGCGACGCCCCGCCCTGGGCTCGGCCCTGGCGCTCTCCGTGGTCCTGACGCGCCCTCAACCCTGATTCCCTGCTCAGCTTTGCAACTCCCACCAGCTCCTGGAAGGCACATGATTAATTTCTTCTCAGTCCATGATACAGCAGTGAAATCACAGGCGCAGAGGCACGAGAATAGGAGCTATACTTTTTTGCCTACATTCAAGGAAACTTCTTGAATGGCTCAACGTTCACTAAAAATGGGGTGATATTGAGTACTTTATTTTGGTATCTACATGTCAAAAGATGCAAAACAAATGAATGGGCAGCTCTTCTTCTCTTCACCACAGAATGCTTTCCTGAATGCAAACACCTCACACATAAAGAAATGCTTAGAGAATATATGTTTAAAAATAGACTTTATGGCTGAAGTTGCACCTCAGTTGGTAGAGTGCTGTCCTAACATTCAGGAGCTTCTGTATTCAAGCCCCAATATTATACAAAGCCAGGCATGGCATTGCATTCCTGTCACCCGGAATTCTGTAACCATGAGGTGAAGGCATAAGGTTCAGAAGGTCAAAGTTACTGTCAACAACATAGGGATTTTGAAGCCAGCTTGGGTTAGAGATGCTGTCTCAATAATCCCGAAACCAAATCCATAGGTCTTACTTAGGGGGCAACCATTGTCACGTATTATAGAGCACGATAAACAGACTGTGAAGCACTCACACAGGAAGTGGGTGGGTTCGCTGTTTTGCTTTGCATCGCCACTAGGTGAACTCTCCATCCCTTGCAAGGCAGTTTGGAAATGAAAACTTTTTTTTTTTTTTGTTACAGATTTATTCAAAGCCAAATTCAGGCAAATGAACAGTGAAGAAGCGCACCAGGCTGTGTTTCCATTTGTCTTGGCAGAAGAAGACAAGCTAGACAACCAGAACTTCCCCACGTATTCCCATAATCAGAACCGAATTAGGCTTTAGAATCCATAGAGTAAAATGATTAAAAGGCGCTCTCTGTACCTGGGGGTGCCATAGAGGTTAGAAGAGACGGGCGAGCACACAAGGCAAGGGAGAAAGGGGTCTCCCTCTCTACTTGTTGAAGTACTACCCAACAAGGTCTCTCTTCAAATGAAAGGTCTGGTTTTATAAGCTTAATATAACTGCACTGTTCCCAGTTTCAAAGGCCAGAGAAGGAGAAATGGCAGGATAAGGTAAAGGGAGCCTCATTGATAATTCCGGAAATCAAATAAGATCTTTGAAAAGAAACAGCTTCCAGAAAAATCAACATTTTCCTCCTCCCAGTCACCTCGCAGGCTGTTCTGAGATGGCATACTAACCACAAGCCTAGACAAATATCCCTGCGAGAATCTGGTAATACAGTGGTGCTTACACAGGAGTCCATGGTCTGCCTTGACTGAAAACATCTGGGTCATGTGATTGGGGCCCTGGCATGGGAGATTACAATAAAGGACAGGTCCTAATGTTTCAGGCAGGAAATACACTCACAGTTCTACTGGAAACAGACTGGAGCTTCATCTGAGTCCCATCTACTATAAACTGAAAGGACTGACCTCCCAGGAATACTCAGGGTTTCCTACTAGGGAAACAAGGATGGATTCTGAGAAAGCAAAGCCAGCAATGCGTTTGTGAACTCTTCCTAGGTTTTATTCAGGAGCATCTAACCCTAGAGATGAAGTTTACGTTGGGCTGAATTTGCAAAGACCGAATAAAGAAAATGAATGCCTTGTTTCTTTTCCTTGCATGTTGACCATGAACTCTAACATTGAAACTCCATGGAGGGGATGTCTCTGTTTTGTTAACTTGTCCCTGACTGGAGCCACAAAACCTATGAGAGTGTCTCCATTTAGCAGACAGCCAATATACACTTATTAAGTTTTTAAAAAAGGAGGTTTGTAATATCTTATAGACCATTTAACAGAAACCTCTTATCTTATAGGCAAGAGAAAGGCAGTTATGATGTGCAGAACACATGATATTTCCTGTCATCTGCTAGACAGCTCTTTTTATCAGCCCATTTAATTTTTATAACAACCTTTCTAAGTAAGTTTTATCACGTCTACCACAAAGCTGGCTTATGTGGTTGGGATAAGCAGACCACGACTCATTTAGTTGCTGAGCACTGCTTGAAGCAGGCTCTGAAGGCACCTAACCATGGACCATGGAGAAGTTACACAATCAAAACCAACAGAGAAAGCCCTAATGCATTATCCCTCCCCCATGCCAAAAGCATAGGCATGCAAACTAAACACAACACCAAAACTTGGGACTGCCAGCAGCCTTCAGCTCCCTAATTAGAAACAAACAGTTTGCCTGCAAGCCAGTATGCAGAACACATGTGCAGCTTTCTGCCAGGATTTTTTTTTTTCCTCTCAAGGCATGACACTGAAGGTAAATGTAAAGAGGCTCTTTGTGGGGCGCATACACAGAACCTACTCCCACCTTTCATATGAAATCAGTAGCTCGACTGTACAGACAATGCCTTAGAACCAGCTGATCAACCCTATTACCCATCACTGCCCCCACAGCAAGGTTCCCACCAGCCGGAGTCCCCTCAATGACTGTGAAAATCAAAACCTCCCTTTTCCCCATGTCACTCACCTCCTCCCCACTCTCTTTTTCATGGATTCTGGGTTGCTGGGTTCTACTGCCATGGCTAAGGGTATCTAAAGCCAGGCTGCTGAACTCAGTGGCACCAATGTTCCCAAGCTGAAAAGACGCTCCAGTTTGAAGTGGTTTCACTCGCTGGGTCTGTTTGATAGCATAAGGGGAGGCATCCGCTCTGTATCCTATGCCAGTATGAAAGGCATCTCACCCATCAGTATGACAAGTCAAAGGCTGGAAGGGAGCCAGAGAACAAGAGGGAAGGGATATGAACTCTTCCCCCCATGCAGTTGGTAGCATTTTTAAGGGTGGCAGATGATGAAGGGGAAAAGCAGGCGGAGAGTCAGTGCCCTACATCAGAAACCTTGGCTTCTTCCCTGAGTGAGTCAGGGTGAGCATTTTGTTTTGAAATGGAATTTCTGTTTTCTTTTTTTCCTTCCTTTGGAGCTGTAGAATGGCCACACATTCAACCAGTCAAGGCGATGGCTGTAAATAACAGGATTTATTTTTTTGAGATTGTGGATCAAAGAAAAGCCTTGAATCTCACCCCAGGGTTATTTATAGCTCAAAGGTGTGTTCTTTTTTTTTTTTTCTTTTTCCTACTTTATATAATTTTGAGAAGTGGAAGATATGCTTTTTCTTTATATTTCTATGTACTCCTGGGGTGGGTTGTGTTACTGGAAAGCAGAAAGGAATTTCCCTTAGAAGCCTTTCTAAGACATAAAGCATCAAGGGAGAATTCACAACACATGTTCCAAGCTGTCACAGGTTCCTGCATGACCTATGACAGCTCTAATACTCAGTAACAAGCTGTGCTTTGGAGGGGCACCTGATACTTGTGTCTGCCAATAGGTGGCATCAAAATCTCTCTAGCTTCTCCTCCCTAAAATTTAAAAGCCATGAGCAGAGGGCATTTTCTTCCTGAGATTTTGCAATTTACTGCGGGTGGTGTTTGAAAGGTCACTAATTGACTCCATTATTTTGTAACAGGTCATCCTACTCTCCATGAAGGGAGACTCTCAGTCAGTTACCTTTTCCAAACCTCAGTCTTCACAATGCAGGCAGAAGGTTCTTGAACATACCCCAAGAGTTAGGACCCTGATACTTAGGCACAGATCTCCCCCAACACATCACATCACATGCCTGCCATAAGCCCTTAGGACTTTATTCCTTTGGGCTGAAGGGACATTAACATGTAGCTAGCTCCCTGCTGTAGACACTGCTATTTGCCCCATCTCAATTTATATCTGTGGGGTTTTTTTCCCTTATGAAGAAAGGCATAATTTTGTGAGAGAGGGTAATGTCCCCAGGCCCTGAGTCTACATTTTTCCAGCCTTGCTTGTGGATGGGTTAGTCATGGGACTCAGATCTAACCCTGTGTTCTTCAGTATAACAAGCACACATACCCATTTGCATGAGTTCAGCAGAATTAAAACCGTATTTCTTCAGTGTCCCTAGCCCATATTGAATGCCAGGAAGTCCTGAGTGGCTAGTAGCCAACATCTTGAAGCATCCACGTTGCCAGCACTGTGGGAGGTTCTGTGGCTGGTGGCTGGTGTGGGGCACTGCTCAGGAGCACTGTAGCAGGGAGGAGGTAACTGACTCCTCTTTAGAGCTTACTCCCTTGGCCCTTCTCCTGTTTCTACCCTGAGTGAAGGGGGTCAGACGCTATTAAAGCCTCAGAGCAGCGTTTGGTAAGGCAGGCTGAGCAGAAAGCTGAGCAGAAAGCCGGAGCTTTTGCTACCAGGAAGACAAACTTCAGTTTTGTTTGCTTGTTTGTTAAGAGAAAAAGAAAGCCCTCCACTGATTCAAGCCATTATTTTCAGCTTTTTATTCCTTAGAACCAAATATTATTTCTAATTAATGCATCCTTGGAACATTACACTGACAACTTTGTATTAATGGTTTTAGACAAACGAGGCTATTTGTCTAGTTTCCTTTATTTGGTCAGAGTTGAAGACAAGATTCTAGAAAAAGGAGATAAAGTGATGTGTACACCATGAGAGAACGTTATGGAGCACTCGCTTCAAAATGTCAAAAGAGACAAAAGGAGAGCAGATGGGCTTTAGCAACAGCTAAAATGGATGTCTTCTAGTTTTTTGCTTGGCTGAACAGCAGCTATGAATTTTCCTGGAAAGAGGGTTGATTTGTGTAGATAGAAAAGTGAAATAACATTTATACTGGGGTGAAGTGACTTGACAACATTATCATGGCGACAGCATGACATTCCAACAGGGTACGTACTGGTATCGTCCCTCTTGACTGTAAGCTGAGGCCTGGGAAAGTAGCCAGGCAAAGCCTGCACAGCTAGTTA